ACTCCTAAAAACAAAGTTAACACAGTAAGTAGTGTGTAGAGTTCGCTAAGAATCAAAAGATCAAAGGTGGCTTGGCCTCATTTGTTTTGGTTTTCTTTCAATGTACCAAATCATTCTTTTTTCTCCTGACTTTTTATATGTGATACGTCTATAAAAAATAGAATGAGATCTTAGAATTATTCTGTTGATCTTGTCTGCTTTTTGTGTGGTGTTGCTGCTGAATTGACGGATCATCTCTTCGTGGTAAGCAGGCTTAGTCCACCTTTTTTGTATATATAGAGGAAAAAAATACTAATAAGAAAATTAATAGGATAACTCATCACAAACATGAGTTTATTTGACAAGGATTTTAACTTGTAAACTTTCTCGCTAAAGCGAAAATAATCATGTTGGATAATAAATAGTTTGAAAATATTTCACTAGACTTGAAATGGTGTTAATGGCCAAAAATTGTGTATTCTATATGAGGAGAACACCATATATTCATTTTCTTTTTCAATTAGCTCCATTAGTTTGAAAGAGTTGTACCGTTGGGTTGTGGATGATTTTGCTATTATCTCACCCGCCAATTAGTTTTTGGCTAATGTTTCGGTTTTTTTTCCTCATTAGAGATTTATCATGATAATAGCTAACAATTTTTAGCATGCTGATATTAGAGGAGATGAACCTACAAATTTTGTTGTAGTATGATGTATATGATTTTGGCGTATGCTGCCACTGAAAAGCACAACCATAAGCATATATTAAAGGGTTGTGCAATTGTTGAAGCCAAGCTTGTTAGATCATCTTAACCGCCTCAAAGATAGTCCTCACATTGAGTCAAAGATGAAGAATTTGGAAATGTTGTATAATATGATATATGACTTGAAAGTTCAAATTGGTTTTGGACGGGATCACAAAAAGCATATTGTTGATATTCAGGATAGTTGAAACAAATATTGCAAAGTTTGTGTGGCTTCTTCTCAAATTTTTTTATTACTTGTTTCCTTTTCTAAAGAAAAATAACATTTCTCTATAGAGAGAACAAAATGCTTCTTCTTTGAGACAGAAGTCCTACCCTCAATATCATCGACTAGCAACCATAATCGGAAGGAACATGCCTAGAGAATTCTCAATGAGGATCTTTCAGAGGATCATGCAACCTTAGACCATCAACAAGGTGAGAATTATGATGATGAGACAATTAATGGTGCAAGTCAAAATTTACCATCACCATCATAATCAACACAAGATTATTCCGAGCCTTCAAGAAGAAAAGAGCTAAAGCAAGTGATAAATGGGCTGCTTGGTTAGTTAAGATTGCACGCACTTTTGGCTCTTTCTTTGAAAAAGCTAGTGAGAGGACGGAAATGATTGCTAATCACATTAGATATGCTAAAGATTTGGACAATGATAAGAGAATAATCAATGATGAGCTTCTTTAAATGTGTATAAGTACCGTGGATTAAATAAAGTTATGTAGAAAAACTTGCGAGGGATTTTGAGAACATTCATCTCCTTTTTAAATTTGAAGGGGATGATAGGAAGGAAATTGTGGAGATGCTTCTCTAAGAGAAAGAGATGATAATGACTTATCATTCTAGGCTCGGATATACCGGCTTGTATGTATTTGCTTAGAATGACTTTTGTCAATCTTTTATTTAATTGCAACTTCTGTGATGATTTTTAAGCTTGGTTAATGGTGCCTATAAATATTATCTATCTTATGTAGTCCATTTGGTTGTTTTATAGCTTTGAACAACATGGGACAATGTTCTTTTGTCACAAAAGAACTACATCTCTAGATTTCACAAAAGAACATTGTTCAATGTTATTGAATGCCAAAAAACTACAGACTACACAAGAGACCTAATATATATAGACACCATCAACAAAGTTAAAATACCATCACGGAAGTTACAATTACACAAAAGATAGACAAAAGTCTTTCAAAGCAAAGATATATAAGCCTGTATATCCTAGCCTAGAATGACTAGTCATTCTCATCTCTCATCATTTAGAGAAGCATTTCCATAAATTTCTTCGTATCATCTACTTCAAATAAATAAAAGGAGATGAATGATCTTAAGATTCTTCACAATTTTTCAACATAATGTTATTGTATCCACAGTACTTAGAGTCATTTAAAGAAGCTCATCATTGATTATTTTTTTTTATCATTATCCAAATTTTTAGCATATGTCCAATGCGACTAACAATCATCTCCATTCTCTCACTAGCTTTTACAAAAGAAAGAGCCAAAAGTGCATGGAATCTAAACTAATCCAGCAGCCCATATATAACTTGGTTTAGCACTTTTTTACTTCTTCAAGGACCAAATCATTTTGTGTCTAGATGATGATGGTGGTGGTAAGTTTTGATTTGCACCATTAGTTGCCTCATCATGATGATTCTTCCCTTGTTAATGGTCTAAAGCTGCGTGACTTCTGAAGGGTCTTCATGAGATTTCTTTTGGCATGGTCCTTTCCAAATACGATTGTTAGTCGATCATGTTGAGGGAATGGCTTTCCTCTAATAGAAGAAGCACCCGATTCTCTCTACAAAGAAATTATATTATTCATTGGAAAAGGAAACAAGTAATAAAGAAAAAAAAATGAGAAGACACATACCTTGCAATGTTTTTGCCAACTATCCTCCGAGTGAATATCAACACTATACTTTCGTGATCCCACCCAATACCACTTGATCTTTCAAGTCATTTAATAGATTATACAACTTTTATAAGTTTTTCATCTTGGACTATATGCGGGACTGCCCTTGAGGCGATCAAAATGATCTAAACTAGTTTGGCTTCTAAAAAATCTGTGATCCATCAATATATGCTTGTGGTAGTGTCTTCTAGTGGCGGTTTACACCACAATCAAATACATCATACACATAAGCAACGTCCGTAGGTTCCTCTCCTCTAACATTAGTATGTTAATTTCTTTGCTATCATCGTGAGCCGTATATAATGACGAACACAAAAACAGAAACAATATGCCAGAACAAATTGGCAAGTGAGATAACAGCAAAACCATTTAAAGCCCCACGCTACAAACCTTTCAAAATTAAAGAGCTAACTGGAAAAAAAAAATTATATATAGCATGTTCTCCTCATTATATAAATATACAAATTTTAGTCATTAATACCATGTCAAATTCAGTGAAGTATTTGCAAAATATTTTGTATCTAACATCATTATTTTTGCTTCAATGAGGAAGTTAACGAGTTAAAATTCTCGTCAAATAAACTCTAGTGTCGAATGAGTTGTCATTTTAAAGTCTTTTGATAAGTAAGTATTTATTTCCCTAAATCCACAAAACCGGCGACTAAACCTGCTACAAGCTCACATGAGCAAAATGTCCCAAGTGGTAAATAAGTACCAACGAATACTACAGCCCAAAGATGTCCTCCTCTCGTTGTGCAATCTATACCTAACATCACACTTAGTTCTAGAGTCAAATGGACATCCATATGGCTATCGTAAAAGTACATTCAGCAGTAACACCACATAAAAAGCAAACAGGATCAACAGACTAGTTCCAAGGCATCATTCTGTTGTTTTTCTAGGCATCCTATTACTATGTTCAATGGAAACCAAAACAGATCAGACCAAGCCGCCTTTGGTCTATTGATTCTCAGCACACTCGACGCCCTACTTACTGAGTAAATTTTGTTTCCAGCAGCAGTCCAGCATATTTTACGCACACTCCACCTTGTAGCATCGAGAAATAAAAGACTGAGCAACAAATTTAAGACCTTAAAATCGTACAAAATAATTAGCAACAAGAACAGTGAAAAAAAATAAATTTTTGTTTCCTGCGACAGAGGAATTGGCCACAGCAGAGGAGACTGACGATCTCACAATCTCTGTAAGGAAAAAGTAGTCCGTATGAAAGAGAAAAAAAAAGCACATCAGTAAAACGTGAGTGTAGCGCTGGTGTCGTCGTTATATGGCAGAGTGATGCCGAAGATCTTGCCTTGCTGCCGGATCTGATTGTAACCGAACAAGAGAGCTATGGAGAAGGAGAAGGAGAAGGTAGGGCTTTTCAGAAAGGAGCTTTTATATCAGGACATCCCACACTCCGCACGAGATCTTTTAATCCAGATTACATCCTTATTTGAGCCGATCTTATCCTGTCGCAGACAGCAAAAACATCACTGAGGGTAATATATATCATATCCTAACTTTTATCCTTGTCCCCAAACAAAGCCTTGGAGAATATTTGCTATGGAGACAACGGCATTATTCTTTGTCGTGTCGCCCATGTTTGACACAAATTCTGTCTCGGGATCAGAATCGAAGTCTTAAGTTTACCCGATTGAGATTTTCTTCAGAACCAGAGCGCTAGTTTACTATTAATAGTTTGATTTGTCAAGGTCTGTGTCATCAGATCATTGTACTTTCCTGTTCTGAATGGAATCGCTCGATGCAAAGATGGTTCTAAAAGAGATCTAGGCTGGCTTAATATTGCATTGTTCTGCCTGTCATTTTGGCCTGTCACATACCAAAACAATGTACTGGACTAATAAGACAGATTGATGTGATCTCAATTGGTTGAGCAAATGTCTACCTTTTTCTTCTTCTTCTTCTTGATGACATTCTCTTGAGAATGTTGTGTTAATGCTAGCAAATAGAATGGAGAATCTCATATTGAGTAAATAGACTGATCATAATTCGCAGTTGCGAAAAGGTTTTGGTCGGTTCTCTCATTTTCATGGACAATAGATGCACGTATGTAAGATCACCACTTCCAAGGTTTGAAGGGCAATGTCGTGTTCCTCTTCTTGTAATCTTTAAATCCGGAGGAAGTCCGCAGAAGATCAGAAGCATATGAAATATGAAAGTTTGAAAGGCACCAAAAGCAATTCAGTATGCTTGGTGTAAAATCCACGGGATATTGTTGAAGGTAACAATCATGGGTTGGACGGGATTAGAGACAGTGAAATCGAATTCAAATACAACGACTCGCAAACCAGAAAGATACATGACTATAAGAACTCTTCAGGGCATTTTGTGTACTAAACATAGCGTGCTAAACCAGCACATGTAGAGCTCGTACATGGCTCATGGCCAACATTGGGTGAAACAAGAGTTTCCACGTAGATAGTAGACTCGACATTATCATACTCTTCAATGGGGTAATTCTTGTAAGTACCATCCTCCGGATTGAACAGAATCATCTCCGACACATCGATCTGGAAAACAATTTTTCTGCTTTGGGTGTAGGCTATCGGGATCGTATAAAGTTGACAGGCAGGTAAACCGTCAGTCAGGACAGTGAACAATCTTGTCCAAGATTCCTCTTTCCCATATTCGTTCATGATCCAAGCCTCGAAACGTGGTCTCCAAGTGCCATCATAAATGAATAGGCGTCCCCCGTGAATCCCCAGACCCTAAAAAACTATACCTTCGACTTTGGGGATTGGAATTGCCTCTTCAAATGTTTCCGTGGCCAAACCAAATGGAATGATCGCTTGGTTTATCCTATTTCCACTTCCATGATTCACGATCCAATGAACAGCCCCGTTTAGATAAATTCCAACTCCATCCAACTTGGGAACATCTTGGCTAAGAACCCTTCTCCAGGAGCCAGATCGGAGTGAAAATATCTCCAATCCACATTCCTTAGAGCCATCATTTGCTGTAAAGAAAGCTCCATGCACTATTTTATAGTCATCAGTTGCGGAGTTGTAACCGAATCCATGGAAGAACTCGTGTTCTGCAACTAAATTAGAACCCGGCAACTTCCTGGACTCCTTGGTGGTTGGGTTATACACGAGAAATCCATCGTCGACAGCCAAACTCACCAAGCCGTGGCACGACCCCGCGAGCCCCCAGGGTTCATCCCTTCCCAAGTCATGAGACTCTACCACCACATGATCATTGACCTCGTCGTTGTCGAGTGCTTCATAGTCTATGGTTTGGAGTGGGTTGCTTCTGATAATTTTCTGGCTAGGGGTCATATTCTCCAAGATGAGCCTTTGCAGGTGCAATTTCACGAAGTGCTGGTCGGAAATTAGAGACCACCATCGCTTGCTTACGCACTTGAATCGCATCAAGGACTTGACTGGTAACCTCGACAGTATGTCGATGATAATATCCTCTGTAATGTTTTCTGCCATAGCAGAGCTTCGATTTGTTTCGGCAAAGTGTCTCTTCATTGACCTCATTCAAGTAAGAGATCTGTTTCTTTGCTGTTTAATCGATCTTTTGCTGAGCAGGCTTAAATAAGGAACTCTTCTTGTCAGAGAGCCAGACGGTAATATCAAGAATTATTGATGATTAAAAAATTGGTTTGGGACTCGATCAACAGGCGTACTCACTACAATTGTAGTTTAGCGAGCCAGAATTGACCTGGTCTCAATTCTCGTCTACCAATGCAAGACTGTAGTTGGTAGCTGATGGTGCAATAAGCTTTCCCAATCCAAAAGCCACTCTCTTTTGACTCTTCTTTGTTTGCTTTAGTTATTATAAAATAAGAAAGGCCTGAGAAATTCATAAAGTCATCATCTTTAAGGGATGACTTTGCAGGTCATTAACACAAGTTACAGAAAATCTAACCTTTAAATGAGAACTGACTGGACCCAGTTTTTGAATATGGGGATGGAGGTTGCCTTCGTTTTTGAGAGCGTCCGACCAAACTGGCTGTGATACATTAAGCGCGTGCTGGCGTATTTAACTAGAGTTTAATCAAGAAGCAAATGGGCGAGTCTAGACAAGCCAGACGAACCAGCACATGAACCCAATTGAAACGGGAACATATGCACGACCGCAAGAGCTGAGGATGCTAAAAGAATTGATATGACGGGGTCCGCTCAGCTTATGCATGGCAGATGAAGAGCCAAGCTTTACGATTGATCTGCTTGTAGGTGTTGGATTCGGTTGTTCTGTATCTAAAGAAGCCTCAGTATAGCTTTTAGCTTTACTTGTCATAACTGCTGTGTTTGAGTATGAAGAATGCTGAGTAATGAGAGTGGACATCGTTTTGTGAACAGTGCTTTCATCATATGATTTAACAGTCTATATCCTACCGGAGATTTTTTTCGGTGAACATCTTTATGCATCTTTCGTCTTGTTACGTAAACCCGACCTCTTTATCAAATTCACTGTGCTTATTCCCTTTGGAGCCACCAGCTTGAAAGATTGGCATATCATTCACCGCAGAAACAAGTGTGGTTTCAGATCGCAGTCAGCTTCAACTTCGATCGAATGAGACGTTGGTGAGGAACAGACTAGCTGTTTATAGGTAACAGTTCAAGTGATCAAATGTGTATTGGATCAGATCATATACGAAGGTGTGTATGGTTATGTTCTGATCAAAGTGGCTAGACGCAAGAATGGATTGAACAGTCATATGGAGAACACGAGAGTAATTATAAGATCTACCACTTGAATTTAGCGGCGAGAACTCTCAAAACAGGACAATAAGAATGCAGCAAACTCCGTCCTCTCTCTCTGTTTAGCAGCACCCTTTTTTTTCACCCCTAAAGACTGTCATTGCATCCTTCATCGCTCGTGGTTGAGATAGGGCGAAACGAGAGTTTCCAGATAGAGGGCCGACTCGATGTTGTCGTCCTCAATGGGTAATTGTTGAAAGTCCCGTCCTCTGGGTTGAACAGAATCATCTCCCACACGTCAATCTGGAACACGATCTTACCCTTCCCAGTGCAGGCCAGCGGGACAACATAGTACTGACTGGCGGGCAAGCCCTCGGTTGAGATGCTGAACCATTCATCCAGGATTCTAGGTTGCCGTACTCCTTCATGATCCACCCCTCACAGTGAGGCAGCCAAGTTCCGTAGTACATGAACAAGCATCTCCCGTGGATCCTGAGGCCCTAAAAAATTACGCCGTCTTCAACTGTAGGGATCGGGAGCACCTCCTGGAAGTCTTCCTCGGCCAGATCAAACGAGACTATCGCTTGCTCCCTCCTGTCTCCACTCCCATGGGAAACGTCCCAATGGTCCGCACCATTCAAATAGACCCCGCCTTCGTACAGGTCATGGACGTCTTTGTGAGGAATCCTTTTCCAGGTACTTGATCTGAGTGAAAATGTCTCCACAACACATTCTTTAGAACCATCATTAGCAGGAAAATAGGCACCTTTAACTATCTTGTAGTCCTCCAATGCAGAGTCATAACCGAACCTGTGGAGGACCTCGTTCCCTGGGACTAAGAGTCAGGCAAGTTCCTAGACTCCTTGGTGGTTGGATTGTACAAGATGAATCTGCCGAAGACCAACAGACACACCAGTCCATTGCAGGACCCCACAATCCCGGGCTCCTCGCCCGGATTGTCCCTTCCCAGGTCATGAGACTTCACCACTGCGAGACCACCCCCTGTGTCGCAGTCGCAGCCGCTGTCGAGCACTTCGTAGTCGACGGTCTGCAGCAGGCTGCTCTTGATGATTCTCTGGCTAGGGATGACATCCCCCGTGAGCAACCTTTGCAGTTGTAGCCTCGCAAAGCGCTGGCCAGAAATTAAGGACCGCTACTGCTTGCTCACACACTTGAACCGCACCAGGGACTTGACTGGCAGCCTCAAGAGTATCTCAACGATGATGCCGTCGGTGAGCTTTTGTGCCATGGTCAAGATTCGGCAAATTGTCTGCTCACTGAGGAGATAAGTTTCTATAAGATATCTTCCTTTCGTTGCTCCAAAGTATTCCCTTCAAGTCTTGCTTGAAACGGTAATATAAAGTAATAGGACATGAATCAAGAAGCGTACTCAGTGCACATCTGTAGCGGAACAAGACAGAACAATGACCAGGTCCCGTCCCACCTAACATTGGACTGCGGTTTAAGTTTATTCAATAACCATTCTAAAACGAAATATACTTAGCATTTCTTTCTATGTTCTTTCTTTCATCAAATTCGTTTATCGAAAAACCACACTGTTTGATAAAGTCGTCACTCAATCACCTTTACCAATGACTTGGAGCCAATTAACATTTAATATACACATAAAGACTAGAGGAATGAAAGCAACATCTAGCGATGATTTTGTCAAAGATTGTGGCGAAAGCCATGCAATTGTGTTGCTACTATGGAAAAGCAAGCCGATTCTGTAGTAAAATGTTGGTCAGCTATAGTATAAATAAGAACGACTGTTCTGAGAAATTTAAAATCTACAAACTGTGATTCGTTCACGTGGTTTATTTATTCTAAAGGACCCTTTTCCCTGCTTAACACAGCCTCTTGAGTGAAATGAAACTGACTAGACCACGTTCGAGTTTGGGGATGGAACGTGTTCAATTTGGAGAGCTATCTAACCAAACTACGTGCGCTTCATATCATGGCGAAATACAGAACTACAGTTATTATGGGGAACTTCTACCAAGAGTCTTATAGGAACGCAGTCGGGAAATAAAGACATTCACAATACTACTTCAAACCAGTTTTGGTCCACCTAGGCAAAGCTTTCTTCTTTCCTGTGAAACATAAGCATATGCGATGTGCAGATGTTTACCAAAAATAAGAATAGTACATGCCGATACACAGAATGCAACATCTATAAATTGGAAATTGGCCAACAAAATGATACTAAGAAACGAGTCTTGAAACACAAATTTCAAAAAGAGCTTCATGCCGTTAAGTTTATGGCTATTTCCAGCATATGATATCATCAGTAAGAAGCCGCTGATCCAGCATTAAAAGTCAGATCAACAGAAGTAAGATATTTCCAGAAAAGCCACGACAAACCATCACAGAGACCCAAATGAAACAGAGTACGAATTCCTGAACACAAAAGGCCAGGAATGCGTGAGAGGGAGTGATTCAACACAGTCCACTTGCTCCAACATATTCAGCCATGGCAGATGAAGAGCCACCTCAACATTTCAAAAGATCACAAGAAACCAACGAATTGAGGACATCAAGTGAACTCACGCAATAGCATCAAGCGCATAGACAATAGAACCAAGTGGTACTTACTCCATTAAGTTATTGACTGCATAACTGACATAATTCCCTTCGTTTCTGATTATGCGGGCTTGATGAATCATATATTGAACCCGCAAAGAAGAGCTATTCCTGTGCTCTAGGGAGTCACGCATCAAGCACAGGTACACATCCCTCCTGAATTGGAAAGGCACGAGCCTGAAAACACGGGCGTACGTGACTCTATCTGCCCACAAATGCGCACGACTGCCGAGCACGTAAACGCATGCACATAGACACACTGGAACAGATGCTGCGCACGCACTGGGACAAGAAGTCAAAAACACAGGAGCCCTGTGCTTGATTGTGCAAGCGTGCAGTGAGGCTCAACAAGCCCGCACATGCCTGCAAGTGGACCAACTTCCCAATGTGCACCCTGAAGATGACGCAACACAAGCATATTCTTTTTGGATTATTCATAGTTTCTGGTTAAGTTTAGCTCTTATAAATTGTTCACACCAGGTGAAGATACCAAAAGGTTTCTCACCAAAAAAAAAAAAAAAAAAAACTAAAGAGTCTTTTAGATCAAAGTAGGTTTATGCTTGGTGTAGAAGTAGAGCACAAGCACTTGTTGATTGCAGTATAACCCAAGCTCATCCACAAACTGCACCCACAAGCACTTGTGGGATTTACAGAAAGTAGTCAAATTAAGGTTGAGTTCACGAATTGGAAAGTTCATTTTGTCAATCATCAGTCGAATGAATTGTGAATCGTTTGATTCAGTAGTCAGTGAAAACAATACAAGCATAACCCACCAAATCAAGTATTAATTGTGGGAAATTTTCGCCAATCCTTTCTATATACATGGGTAATGATGTCTAAGAAGGCTATCATCTTGATCATAGAACATGTAATTGTGAAGAAGTACAAGATACCGTTGCCTCCCTCATTTGTTAATTCACTCAACAAAGGAATGCATTCAACTCGTTTAATACCAAATCCAACTTAGAATGATCTTAAAGACAAGGTTTAACACTAGTCCACGTGTATCCACACGCAGGTTTACCACTTGAAGACAAGTACGATAAGCAAGTGAGCATAGATCTATGTTCAAATGCTTATAGACGTGTATGCATCAAAAACCTGTCTGTTTTCGTGTGCATTTGGGAAGTTAGCAGCTTGACCAAAATAAACAGTCTAAGCCAGACTTTCGCTAGCTAATACATCTTTGTTAGATTAATGCCAAACAAAAAAGCTCTTAAAGTGATATTGAAGATTGGTTGAACATGTCGAGTGACCTTATCAGTTCAACAACTTGGGAGAAAACAAAGATAAAAGAATGCATTTAACCCCTGTCCTTCCAAGAGCATTGTCAATAGCATTTAAGGCAGCAACTAGGCCCGTGTTCAAAAGAAAGAAACCAAAACCATTCTCTAACTGCCAATGACAGCATAACTCCTTAAACTGCAATTTCATGCCATACGCC